ATGGGTGCCACCAAAGCATATATGTATATATTTATACAGTAAGCAGCTGATTAGACGTCAGACAAAAAAAAAAAAAAGATTATTGCTTCAGGTGATTGTCAATGCAGCTTCTCTATTATCAGGTTTTTCACCTTTCTTCGTGCTTAGGCAGCATATGAGCAGTATGAGGGGAGAAAACAGAGGGAACATTCTGTTAATGAGCAATAAGTGACCATGAAATATTGCTTTTATTTCAAGGAGAAAATTGACGCACAAGTTTTTACTGTTGGTGTGAATCAAACTTTTTATGAACATATTTTCGAGGTTGTCGTCATGGAGAATGAAACAATAAATGCGTTGTAAAAACGAAACAAACAGCTTAAATATTACAAATTAACTGAAAGTGTAAACAGATAATTATTTTTCTTGTCCTTAGCCCTTTAATTACTACTAATGCTTTGGTGATGTAGCTTCCAATTTTCTGGAGCGCATTTAAAAAATAACTCTTTAATCTGTCCATCCATTATACTTGGAGGCGAACCTGTAGCCTTGCTTCTCTGAGCTAGCACTGCAGATATAGCCTGACTGCCCAATACCACAGCATTTGACAGATAAGGTCGTATGTGCGTGTGAGTTCAAAGACAGAAAGATATAAGTAAATTGATAGCGCCACTAAGTGAGAAGATACTATGAGTCCTCGCTCGGTGCTGTCCAATCTCCTCAGTGTCAGATTTCTCTGCCTCACTGAGACTCAGTACTATCAGTCCAACATTACCCTATCTGTTTATACAGGGGCTAAAACCAAGCCTGCTCTTTATCCTCGCACTGCGGCTAAACATAATGGAATAGAGAGGCATAACACTGCTCCAGTCAAACACTCATTGGAGACCATTAAATTGCATCCAATCCCCTAAACAAATCTGATGGAGAGGCTATGAATAACTCAAGGATTCTGCTCTACTCTGCTCTACTCTTTCCTCCTTCACTTTCTTCTAATTTCTATTCCCTTCAATCATTATTTATAATACACTTCTATCTTCTTCTGACAAAAGCCACCATATGTTTTAAACATAAACAAAATACTACCTACTACATGTCAGTAAAAGGTGCCTGCAGGAGTGGAGCAGGAGATTGAGACGTCAGGTTGACCCCTGAAGCTGTAATAGAAAATTTAGAGATAATTTGTGTAATCCCTAAATGGGGGCCCGGGAAATTACTATAACTGTGAGCTGCTCTACAAAAGATGGAGCCTTTCAGGTTCCTGTCAAACTGCTGCGTCCTCTCACGCGTAGTATAGACACTGACCCCAGCTCTCGTCTCTTGGCACTTCTGTGTTTGTTCTAGTCTACTTTAGCTGCGGCACCTGATGCTTTTAGCACCCTGTTATTAGACACAGTCACACTTGCAATTATTGTCGTACTGTGAGAGCGCCGGCTGATTGAAGATTAATGGCCCAATCGCATGCTGATAACAAAGAAACTTTACATTCAGATGCACTCACTGATATTTCAGCGATGTGCTGAAATCAGCCATACAGTGAGTGGGTGGGTGGTTGTTGTTGTTGGTGTGTGTTTATGCACAAGGCTCATCACGCATTTGTTTGCGTGGGTGTGAACGTTTGAAGTGTCATTGTTTGGAGAGACTCAATTTAACAAAACAGGAAAAAAAATCTACATGTGACAGTGAAGGAACGTAATAGAAGAAAAAATAACCAAGTGATTACAAATTGGCTCTCTTGCAATTAAAGGATTAGTTTTCTTCGTCTTCGTAGAGATTCTGGTGTCATGAGTTCCGGTGTCACTTGGTTTTGTTTTTGGCTTTTCCAGGTGGTGGGTCTTTAATTATATAATCTGTTAATCATCCCTACATAAAAACATGTTCATGAACCTTTTCATTAATGTATCTTACTCGGTTGGTACTGTTTCAATGTGTGCATTTTGTCTTTGTATGGGCCACCAAACCATGTTTGGGTCAAAATTATTATACCAAAGGAGGTTGAAAGGAGGAAAAATATATCCTTGAAATATTCGTAGTGTTTAATCTAATCGTCATATCTTTGTCCAATATGTTTGGGGCCTTGTTTCAGAATTCTAAAGCTGTGTTTGTCCTCTGTTGAAGCAGGAGATTGTGAATCTGTGTGGAATAAAGGAAGAAAATCCACTCAGGGACTGTAATGTCTGGGTACCAGATAAATAATGTGGTGTAGTATGCTCTGTTCACAGTCTCTGGGAAATGTCCTTTAACCATTTAATCTCACAAGATATGTTAAACTATATGAGAATTTCCTCTCACATAGTATCTGGGAAATGTCCTTTAACCATTTAATTGAGTGCGACGTAAACATGTCCAACGAAGCCACACTCTGGTTTGAGTCTTTAAACCGTTTCCCAGCATTCATGCTACCACACTTGTGATTGACAGTTTAGAAAATAACCTTAAATCATGAACTCAAACGAGAGACATTTTCAAGTATCATGTCCTTTTGGAGACGGCTCCCTTCATTGCGGGTGACAACAGACTCTTAACTTGTAGTATCAGTTTGGAATTCTGTTTACCATAAACTAAGGACAAAAAAAAAAAAAAGAGAGATGGTGATCACGCCCATCTTTTCACTTGTTTAGCAGTGTATAAAGAGACTTGGAGCTCTTGTAATGTATGAAGGGACGTGAAGAAATTAACTTGCTTTGGGCTGTTTTGAAAGTGACTGAAGCCATAATGACAGCTACGGCATGATGTATTTTGAAGCCAAAATTAAAGCATAAATCATTTTTTGTCACCAACATTTTACATCAGAACAGACATAAAGGGGGGAACTCCGCTGGTGTGCCACAAAGAGTCCGAATGTTTCTTCTTGTGCAAACCATTCAACTTTTGGAAAAAATACCATTTGTCATCATGAAATCTGTGTATTCTCTTGTATAAGTTTCCCAGTGAAAGTCCCTCATCAGGCTATATGCTATTTATACTTTAGCAGGCTCTGCTGCACTGACACTAATTTGCATAGATTGAAAGGAATGGTCGTTTTTTTTGAAGAGAGAAAAGTAACATTTGTAAACAGCTCTGTAACTCTGAGGTATTTGTGGCCTCATCCACAAAGATCTGCTGGTCAACTGACAGATGGGTTGGTTCACCTGGAATAGAACTGGAAACAATAGAATTACACATAGTGATGCATGCAGCAGTGAGTCAAGATATCCAATATGCCATTATATAATATAAACCCCACAGACATAGTAATACCCAGGGAACATTCTAACAGGAATCTGTAGCCTCCACACTACATATATGTGGCCCACGCGGGCTCTAATTAATGTTAAAAATAAGACTGACACTGAAGGTAACACAGCTCTTATGTTATTTTTAATTAATTATCCATACATCAACAATACGTTTCATAAATATAATTATAATTTAAATGCACAAATAACACAAATAGACCCTAACCTTCACACTAAATTGATTTTTTTTCTGAGGTGAATATGTAAATACCAGTGTAATGTACCAAACGTTCTCATTCGATTTCTCTTTTTCTTTTCCTCTGCCTATTGAGTGTTCTTTCTTAGCTCTTTTCCTTCACCATGGCCCTTTAGAGGGACCTGTAAACGTCCCTGAGAAGGTTAAACTGCATTTAGATGAGGACTAGTGGAGGAGCACTTGGGTTCAACCCGTTATGTTCCTGAGCAGGAAGCCGTCCTTGGGGCCTTGGCAGAGAAGGAGAAGATAGCCCTTATTTTTCACACCTTCATAGTCATTTACATGGTTCTATTCAGCATGGAAGCTAACGATTTGCTGCTGTGTTTGACTGATTGTTTACCTTCTTATCTGCTTGTGAGTTAAACTTAAAAGATATATTTTCTTGAACATGTGAAGATTTCATATTTTCATGTTTAACTATTGACGATTTATGTTGTTGTTACATTGAGCTTTTGTGAGGTTTTTGTTCTGACACAAAGGTTTATACGGTTATAGTGGATACACTGTACAAGGAGAAAACAAGTTGTAGTTAGATTTTGTGCTGAAGGGAATTTTCTATTCTGATAGTGTCAGATTATTCTCTCAGTCTTTTGGCTGGTACTGTAGTTGTGACAGACAAGGCAGCTGATGAAATGGCAGCACCGTGTCATGTTAGCCTGGCAAAGCAAAAGAGGAAGAGAAATTTCATTTCTGCTGAAAAGATTGACATGGGATAAGACAATATGAGATTAAAAAAAGAGACTGAAGTAAGTGAGGGGAAAGGAAATGCATCTACTGCGTGAATGTGAAGTGTTTACAAGGTGAAATGATCTGGGAACATCTCCCTGCTCCTCCGTCTGCCCCATGCCTCCTAACAGGCACTCCAGCATCACACTTAATCAGCCAATCACTGCTGGATTCTGTGTATGAGGCCTGATTGGTTGATTATAAAGCTCATCTAGAAACCACCCAGTGTTTGTGTGTGTCGGTTTCCAATTTGGTATATGAACTCGCCTGTTTCCATTTTTCTCAAGGCATTTTGTGTTTCTTTCTTTCCAAACTTTTCTGAAAAGCAACTCTCAAAATATTTTTTCACCCTTTTTTTTCAATCTCTACCTGTGGTTTTATTTGAAGTATTTCGCTGCCAGGCACGGCATAACGTGGGGCACAGCAGGACCTTAAGGAAGATCAATGCCAATATTTATTTCATGTCCAATTACTACGGCAGGACCACAGTCCAGAGATCACTGTGATGAAAGTCAACCTTCTGTAATAGAAGCACACACAGAAACCAACTATCCAATGTACACCCTATAGCTATAGCTTCACTTGTAGGACATAAAAATATGAGAAGATTTTGTTAGACTATAGGAGACTGAACCTTTGGCATTAGCAGACGACGGAGTCTTCAAATGGATTTTGATGCAAATTCACAAACAATTTTATCTCTTCAACAACAGTCAATATTTTTTGCTGTTTTATCAAATGTTATGTGGTAATATGGTTTGAACCATTATAGATACTGGTTTCTGAACTGTCTTTTTTTTTTGTCTTTTACTCTATTTTAGATTTATTCCTAACAACTGAAGGCCCCTCCTTTGAAACCTGGCTCAGTAAGGTAAGAAGCTTTTTTTTTAAGCTTTCTTTTTCTAATCCTGTGATATCAAGGCTCTGGCACAATCATCAGTGAACTTTGCTTTATGTTTTTTTTTCTTTCTTTGCAATGTACTTTATGAGAAGAATATGTTCTGAACACACTGTTAGTTTTTTTAGACCAAATCCACATATGTAAATATTAAATGATGATACCGTCTACCTTTGAATCTCTTAGACTCTTTAAACACCTGTGGCGTGTTTAAAAGTCATACATTTTTAGCTTAAGTTAACTGTTAAATGTTTTGTTGTCGTTGGATACACAGTCTCAGACTCCTGTTGGCCGTTAACTGTAGCCGAATGGTCTCTGACTACAGATGGGGAAAAAAAAACAGAACTCCTCAGGGGAAAAATCTCTCATCCTCCACTGCTGTATTGGTGTCTTCGATGCACCAAACTGGTCAGCAGAACCACGCTCGCATTTAGGCCACAGGTCTGTTAGCACTGCTGGAGGACTAGTTAATATTCTGGGAGAGCAGAGATGGGGGGAAGATGGTGGCGTTGAGTTTTTGTGGAAAGAGCCTATTTGAAATTCAGCAGGTCGAGGCACCAGTGGAACAGTAGTCTATCTTATCACAGAGAGAGAGAGAGAAGGAAGAGGAGAAAGGAAGGGGAGGGGATGAGGAAGAAGAGAGAAACGGGAGGAGATTGAAGGATTTGGCAGAGACAGAATGTGTGTAAGGAAGGAGAGAGAGAGCAAGCAGCAGCAAAACAGAGCAAATAAACTGCCATGTCCTGAGACCAGTGGGATGTGTGATGGGTGGCAGGAATGTTGATCAGGTGAGGGAACGAGAAAAAGAGAATTTCCCTGGGATTGTTGATGTCAGACCAGTTAAATCTCACGGTAGTTAGACACATGTTTGGAGGAAAGTCCAAAGAGATTTGTTCACGGCTGTGAAAGAAAGGGGTCGGCGTTGGTCAGTCTGTATTTTCAGTGTCCCAGTCCTGGTATATCCTCCTCAGACACTCACTCTACCATCCCCTGTATCTCCAACCCCGAAGACTAGTTAGTCTTCTCAGCTGACTCTGTTTAATGTGCTGCTCAGTAATCGAATCACAATCTCAATGTTGCACTGTGTGATTATGAAGCCACATAAAGTGCTGCAGTTTCATTTTGATTAAATTAATTCACCCACCAAGTCTCCTGGGACTCAAGGCCCAAGAGTTTTTTTTTTTTTTTTTTTTTTTTAAAACTTCAAGAGTCTCCAGCAGCATTGTCTCATTGACAGCAGCTTTGTGACGTTTTTTTTCCCACAAATTAAATGGACGATTCTGTAAATTAGAAGGAGTGAGGACAGTGGGCAGAAGACAAAGGGGGAAAAGAAAGGCCAATCGTTTGCTTTGTAGATGGATGCCTGTTTCCTGATTGGCCAGTTTCCAATAAATCCTCATTGTCAGCAGGCTTTAATCTGTTTTAATCTCCCAGACCAAATAATTTAACACAGCCCACGCAGGTTAAATGGGTGTGACAGTCTGTGTACTACTGTAATAAAATACATCTATATTTATCTCTTCCTTGGACAGTCAGTCATTTGGTGAAATGATGTTTTTGATTAGACTGTCATAATAAGAACCTAAAGTCCTTTTAATGAACAAGTTAATTACCTGTATTCACACTGTGCTCAAGATTGAGTATTTTTTATTGTCGTACCGAGACTAACAGCGCAGCCATATTTAGATACTGCATAATATGCTGCTTTCAAAGCCCTGATACATGCAATTACACAGCAGTGATTGGATTGAGACTAGGTTTTGGAGTTCTCCAAATGCTGCAGCCAACAGATTTGGTAATCTTCTTGACATTTCCATTTACTTTCTTAAAAGATAGCTTTTCTTCGTTAAGTTTTCTTTCTTGATCCCAAGACCTTCTCCTCTCTCTCTCTCTCTCTCTCTCATGCACAAACTAAAGACTGTTGAAATTAATTGAATGTTGTATCTGAACAACAGCTTGATAAATGTGCACAAACTCCTGTTTTCGGAGCGTCAGAGGATGATTCATTAAACGGCATTATTCTTTAGTCAATGTAGCCCCACCTCAGGATATAAATTAATGATTCTATTTGTTTTATGATAACAAACGTTATTACGTTCCTGCTGTATACAGCAGAATATCATTGACCTTAGCATAAAGCTCATGGCAACAGGCTGCAGACTCTCTGGAACGGTGTATGTTTGCGTTTGAGGTAAAAAAGTTGTTTTGCCTAGAGAGACATTTATCCTAAAACCTGCTGCCTTTAATATGTGTTTTAACCAAAAATCCCTCTTTTCTGTGACATATAGACAAACAACTTAATCTCTAGGTCAGTTTTTCCCTCTTTTTGCTTTTATAAACTACAGTATACGTTTTTCTGTTGTTCTCCATAATTGAAATTCACACGCAACTTTTTCATTTCCACACACTGCCCTCTCTGTTTGGCACCAGATATTTATATCCTTGAAATGACACACATTTAAAAAAAACAAACAAACAGACTTAGCCGTTCCTTGTATCCTCAAAACATCCAACCTTGTTAATCCTGCTGTGGTCTTCAGTTCAACATCACGGCTGTATCTGTGGGTCACAGGCCAGCACACTCCCCTCCTCTGCAGCACTCTTTTTTTTTAATTACTTTCCCTTTCCCCCCCTCCCCTCCTAAGTCTTTTACATCCCTCTCTGTTCCTCTGTTTTTCTACAAATACCCAGGAGAAGAGAGCCTCAGAAGCAGAGAGAGAGAGAGAGAGGGAGGGAGGGCTGGGGGGATAACAAATCGTAGAGATGAGTGCAGAGAGGTGTTTTCATTAGCAGGTGCGTCCAGCCAGAAGGGGTTTTAAAGGTCATATCTACATTGGATAATACAACAAAACACTATAACAGTGAGGGGTTTTTCCTCCCAAATTTATTTCCTTGACATTCACACAATCTGTTCACTACGAAAACACAGTACAATGTGTTGATGTGTGTCTGTCTTTTAATCTCACACACAACCAGATCAACTGCTGTTTTTTTTTTCTCGTTTTTTTTAATCTGTCATATCCACAATGAACAGAAGCTTTTGATGAATCTGTACAGTGAGGATTAACGTGTCATTGGTCAAGTCAAGCATGTTGAAACATATTACAAACACTGAAATCGGGTACAGACACTAATTACAGTTTATTTAAGGTCCATTATTTTCTGCACCTTTTTTGAAAATATTTGTTTTGAGGCAGCACTTTCCTGACTTTACTTCATTTATGTACATTCTCCGTGCTTCTCATATGCAGATGTTTGGGTTATTTCCTATATAAAAGAGTCCAGTTAAACTGGGCTAACAGTTGAATTATGAATTCTTCCCTGCTGATCGGACGACTTTGTACAGTAGCTGTGTGTGCGTGTCCCTGCGTGATGAGTGTGGCGTGATGTGAACAGAGGAGGATAACAACGGGACATGTAATCCTGTCATTTTCACACATCCAGCAGCAGCTTCCACACTGCGGCAAACACACACACTTTCACTCAGAGAGTGAGGTTTAATCAAACACACACACACTCACTCACAGAGATTCAGAGAGCGTTTTAATCAAGTGATGTCTTGTAATCAAGCACCCAGCACCAGTTAATCACACTGAGGTCTCATCCCTAACATATAGACTTAAGACCTCATCACCACGTCTCAATAGGTTTCTGCAGTGTGAGTTCGATCAAACCTATTTTTCATATAAGCTTTTTTTGTTACTCAGTCATAATTTGATTAATTATTTGTCTAGACTGGTCAATGAAATGTGATTTTTGCCAAGAGAAAAGTTTGAAAATCATTAATACATTGGCATTTGATTTGCTTTACTAATTGATCTTGATCTTGAAAACGTTGACTTTCAACAATTGTGCATGAGTTTCTGATTAGCAGTTTCTGTCCTAAAGTTGGAAACAAATCCATTCTCATTACATTTTGAAGTTTGCCAAAAACAACAAAAAAAAAATACAAGATATTAATAGTATTTAAGTAGAAATTTCTGGAAAAATAATTTCAATCAAAATATGAAGACAAAAAATACAAAAAAAAGACTCATCTTGTTGGAACAAACATAAAAGTCTCTACTCTCCAATTTCACTGCAGCCTAATGCATATTGGTTATGATACTGTTGTTGTTGTCTCACTGCAAAAGAACTTCAGCTGTGACTTTGTAGGTAAAATATTGTAGTCGTCACAGGAAAGTACCTGATTGATACCAGTTTTTTGTTGGAATTACCTGTGGCTCACATTTAAATCTGTCTGAGTTGAAATATGTTTTTTCCTAGACTAAGAATACATAGAATTACAAAAGAGATGGTATTTCAACAGTCTGATTGGACAGAATTCCAACCAGATTATTAAGAGTCCTGGCACATCTGCGCCTGATTGCTGGGGCTCATCACAACCCAGAATTCTAACCATGCTTCCTGAATAATTTTATTTTGTGCTTACAGATTTATAAATAAAGTGTTGTGACTTGGATGCTAAACCACAAACAGCTTAATATCCCCTACATAAAAAAAATGTTCAACCTTAAGCCTTTAAATAATAATACGTCTTGACAACATTGGATTCTTGTACTTCTGGGATTTAACAGTAGATAGAAGAAGTCATTCCCTTGTAAAAATGTGTCAGAATTATTTTTATTCTTAAAAGCTGAAATACAGACATGAAATGTTAAATATTAAATGAAGTTGTTTGGTTGTTATTGTAGATCAGTAAAAACCCTTCCCCTCCCTACACTGTCACTCAACAATATGCATTCACTACTACCTCATATTGTTGTTGTTGTTTTTTTGTCTGTTTAGGCAATTCAGCTTTATGTTAATAAAAAAATACAGTGTTGCATAATTTATTTTGCATCCACTGACCCAATCATGGTATCGCTCCTTGTGACCGTGCTGCATCGCTTTCCTGCAGAGATTTACATCGGCACACACACACACACACACACACTCACTCACACTCACTTCTGACCTTCATCCCATCCATATTCCTGTATCTTCTTCTTTCCCCTCTTCTTTCTGCCCTTTTCTCTGTAAAGGGCACCACATGCCAGAGGCATTAGTCGCGTGTCAAAACATTTACATCCACAAACCCATTTTATTTGGTCTAAGCTCACACTCAAGGTGCATGAAATGACAACCATCCAGTACGGACAGGATTTGTCATCCAGGGTTTATTTTTATTTTGTTCTATCTGATGATACAGAACTAACTGTAACTGTTGGTGGTTTTTTGAAAGAAAAAAAATACACTTGTTGTGTATTAAATGGCCTTTAAATTAGATTTTTTTTTTTCAACTCTTGTATACTTAATTTTAAGGTAAAGCAAATGTGGTTTTTTTGAAAGAAAAAAATACACTCATTGTGTATGAGTAGATATTAGATTTTTTTTCAACTGTTTTATACTTAATTTTAAGGTAAAGCAAATGTATTTAAAAAATAAATAAAGGAGATTTGCTTATTTAACTAATAACTGCTCCAAAATAATGGTTTTATTACTGGGTGGTTTCTTGAATATTCATAAATCATTATATTTCTAAAGTCTGGTTCATTGTTGAGTTTGTTTCTTCTACCACAGTGCGTTGGATCAGATATATGACTCAGCATTTTGTTTATGCAATGAGTTGACTTTTAACTTCACAAACATGTCTAATCTGTTTTGTTTCATTTTCTCTGTTCTCTCAGGATGGGAACTTCACCAAAGATGATGTCATGCCAGCAAAGCCACCTGCCAGTATTATTGGACAGTCCTCCTTTGCCGACTTTGGTAAGAAAAAAACCTTTTTTTTTTTGCAATTTCTGCGGGAAAAGTTGTGTATTAATGTTTCACAGATTTAAATATTTAAAGCTACAGTACCGATGTGCGCTGAAATATTTACCACCCAGGAAGTCGCACTCAAACCCTCGGAGATGTTTGAAAGTGTGTGTGTGTGTGTCTGTGTGTCCCAGTGTGTTGGTGTCTGTAAAGGGACATTTTCTGATACATTATCAGAATAATATAATAACTATCTATTGCTAAAGCCCACGCTATGATTTTAGGCAGTGTGTCTTCAAACACAAATGCCTGGTCTTTGTAGCTCTACAACTTTCACCCTGCCTCTCTCACTGCGTAACTTTCTTCTTCCACTCAGCCCCATGAACTGTACACAGACCCACACGCCCTTTGATGTTCACACGGATGCACAGACTTTTAATCCCCCGTACGCTTTTTACAATCTTGTGAAAGTCTTATCCCCTTAACCAATCCCGCCCAGGAATTTCCGTCCTTCCCCTTGGCTTTTCATTTATCCTTAGCGAATCTCAGATGGCTCTTTAATGGCCTGACTGTAGCCAGGGTTCTACGAAGTGGCCCATGGTTGTCTCCTCTCAGCGGCCGCTGATCTATGTTAGCTTCTTAAGGCACAACCAGTGCAGTTTAACAGCTAAATGGCTGAGGTTCTCAGAGGAAATTTAACAAATTTAACAAAAAAAAACGGAGATTCTCATAGAAGACGGTGCAGTTGAGAAGTTGCCTCTCCTGTTTTATGTATATTCTTATGCATCTTTTGGCACTCAAGCTTTGACAGCAGTGAAAACAACAAGCCTCCTGTTTTGCTGATCTACAACTGTAAGCTTGAACTGTAAACAGTTTGCCTTGGTCCAAGAAAATAAATGTTCAGGAAACTCTGCCACTGATGGGGAAAAATGTCAGCTATCTGCAGAGGCATCATTAAATTTAAGCAGCAGCCTGTCCTTAGTTTTGTAACGGTGGATGTATATTTAATTAACTTTCAGTCTAGTGTGACTCATACACACTCACACAGACAAGTACTGTAAATACAAACAAATACAGAAATGAAAGATGTAGGAGTTAGAGAAAGATATAAACTCTATTCATCTGGAAATAAAGATTTGACCGAAATTGGAAATGTCACTCATTCTGCACCTTTTTTTTTCTTCGTTCTTTTAATCCATGCTTTTGCATAATTTGCTAGTCAAAAACATCAGTCCATTTAGTTTCTCTAAAGCTTCCCCCAGTCCAGTCAGTCTTTTAAGAAACCAAAACTTAAAGACATTTCTCTTATTGGCCACAGTTTGGAGATCCTTGGATCTGAATTCCTCTAATCAGCCGACTTTATCTAAAGTTGAGATGCAATTTGACACTTTTGATCTGTGATACAGCCCGATTACTCATTCCATATTTTCTTTTTTTTTCTTCCCCAGTTTCTCATCTAAATTACGATGTCATATCACTAGATTGCTTTACTTTCATTCATCGTGCAAAAGACGATATTGCGTTAAAGTGGAAAAATGTGTCCTTTATAAAACACTAAAGTTAGAGGCAGTACTTTTTGTTCTCGTTATCCGTCTCTCTAACTGTAGTTATTTATAATTGTGCCCACTTGTATTGTTATACTTTGCTCTGATATCGTTTCTTCCTGTCAATCAGTCTTTCTCTGTTGATATTTTTATCATGCAGCCAATCTCTCTCTCTCTTGAGGGGATACTTTTTCATGTCCAACATCTCTCAGGGCTTATTATAGAGTGTGTCTTTAAAGAATGACCGTGGGGTGGTACAATAATAAAAAAAAAAAAAACAGAATCTCAACGAAAATGAGTACTCTGAGTGTGGCAGGACCGAACACTTCAAAGATGACGTGAGCCAAGATAGGATGGAGGACAGAAATGTAAGAATGTGCAGAGGTGGGTGAGGAGAGGTGATGATAGCAGGGAGGATAATGAAGGAATTAAGGAACGGAGGGAATCAGGTGGTGCAGAGAGCAGCACCGTAACCCTCTGCAGAGAATAGTAGCAATTATTTCCATCACACATCGGTGTCTGTTCTCTCTCTCCATCCCTATTGTCTGACCTTTTTTGGTTGTTCTTCCATTTAATTATACCTACATCTTCTTTTTCCTACTGCTCTTTGTTGCATCTGTCCTTTTTTTTTTTCCTTTTTCAGATTCAGCTGTAGATAATACCAGGTAAAAAAAAAAGTTCAAATAAAAGAAATGAATTATACAATAACTGGAACTGTAGATAATAAGATAAGATAAGGTAAGAAATCCTTTATTCATCCCACATCGTCAGGGGGTCGGGGGGTGTGGGTGGGGGGGTCACAGTGTTAACAGCAGCAGAGTACAGAAGGAGTGAAGTGTAGCATGGTGCTGTAGTAATACAGGTATTAGCCTGTAGTTTCTTACATTTATACTCTGTATACGTTACTATCAAATATAGTTTGTAAAATAATGTATCAAAATGTAATATAATAATGTAAATAATAAATAATAACAGTCAATTAATTGCACATATTGCGGGTGTTACCGCTGTTCATAGCAAAGTGAACAAGTGTTGCACATATTTTCTGAAAGAGTTTGCATGTATTTTTTGTTTTGTTTTTGACATGATGTACAAGTAACAAGTATTTTTTTTTGGAAAACTAAAGTAGGTCAGAGTCACGAGCTAACCCCAAAACACACTACAAGGAGGTTTTACATCTTCCTTGAGGAGTTTTGGGATTTACCACAAACACTGAGAACACCTACTTGTAATGACGGACCGACCTGCCTGGAAATAGGGAAAAAAAGTTGCAGGAGAAAGTGTGTGAGCTTGAGAATCTCCTTTGAAGAAAAACGTTGCAGGAAATAGTGTGTGAGCTTGAGAATCTCCTTTGATTCTAAGTCACAAGACAGGAACCAGACTGCAGCTTCACCTTCATGGTCGTCATCAATCTGGATGGATGACCAATACTGAAGTAGTTGAACAGTCCTAGCATACGTCAGCTGTATCTGTCTGTTTGTTCCTACGTACTGTGTATGTCCAGTATGTTGTTGTTTACGTTCCTGCACAGTTACACCTGCACTCCCTACAACACGCTTGTCTTTTTGTCCTCCTCGCTGATTCCACTTCCAAACATCTAATTGACGCTGGGTGTATGCCAGGCAGAACCGGCGAGTCTGACTCATCACTGAAGTGATTACATTTTTCAAAGTGACAGCTGTCACTTCGTCATGCATAATTCATCGTTAAGTAAAACACAACAAAGTCCTACAGCAAAGTGTTTCAGCATATATTATACAGGATATATGGTAGAAAATGTGACCGGCAGCTCACTTCAAGACATTCTTCAGAGAGGGAGAAGAGAGAGACAGAGTGTGTGTGTGAGTGTGTGTGGAAGTGATATTTAAAATAGGAAAGGCTGTCATCTGAGCTGTGTGTGTATTATTGTGAATGTGTGCAGGTAGAGTAAGTCGACATGTTAACAGGACACAGCGTTTCCTTCTGCTCTCCCCTTCAGACATTCTTTCCTCCACTCATCTTGTTCTATTGTGCTCCATTCAATCCCTCCTCCCTCTCTACCTCTTTTTTTTTGTGTCACTTTATTATCTCCTTAGCCACTGCATACCTTCCACAGTCTTGCTGTGGCTGTGTCTTGTATCGCTGCTTCACTGGTGTCACATTCTCCATCACAGTGTCACACTTTTGGAATAATGGATTTTTCTGCTTCTGTTAAAAACTTGAGGGCAGTTTTGCAGGTGAGGAACAAAGTCAGGCCCTGACGTCTGTGTCTGTGTCTGTAGATTGACTAAAATGCAAATTAAAACCTCCTAATTAGGCCGTATTCATTTTTGATGCGTTCTAGCTCAAACATCAAAGCCTGACATAACTTTAGCACATTATGGAAATGCAAACTGCAAAACAATAAAGTTTGCTGAAAGTAAAACCCATATCTTTTTAGCAGCTAAGCAGCTATTTCACAGTTGTTATTTAGACATGACACTCTCTGCTATAGTGATTCAGCCACAGTGGGGTTTTGACACTCTCTGGTATAGTGATTCAGCCACAGTGGGGTTTTTTTAAATATTCTTGCTGTGGTTTATTTTCAGTTTTACACCCATATCGATGATATAACCTATTAGTATTATATTATCATTAATTAAGAAGCCAAAGAATAACTCTCTACCAGTTCTGACCCTGAGGAGACAAAACCTTTAGTTCTATAATATAAATTTAATATCTAAAAAAAAGTTTTTTTCTTCTCTCTGACTCGAACTAAGCTCCATAGAGAACCATACCGTACATTCGTGGGCAGGAAATGTAAACTTGATAAATACAGTAACTGACCTTTAACCTTTGAACCAAACACTGCTGTTTGACCCAGCAGATATAACTGATGTTTTAGGAAATAGAAAAGAAAAAAAAAATCCAGTGACCCTGATTCAAACTTCAGGACAGTGGTAAACATACATACAGTATATGTACATGGATGTCTTTTTTTTTATTCAAAACACGGGTTCATGACATGTAGGTTATGTATGATATAAAGTAATTTACATTGTTGTCGGTGGTTGGCCGTTTACTGTGAATATAAATGTGTGTCTGTATAAATGTATTTCTTTCTTTTTTTTTTTTCCTGTGCCCTCTTCCCTACAGGCCTGACATCTCTCTCTAAAGCCGTCTCCGTTTCATTTGTATCTGCAGTTCTGTCCCTCAATGACTCTCTCAGCCAATATCCGTAGGACTGTACACCATCAGCAGGGGGTAGCGATGAGAAATGGAGAGCAGGAAAGGGAATGGAGGGATGCGAATGAAAAAGATTAAGCAAGTGACAAAAGGCAAAAGGAATTAAGAGTGCGATGGGGGTTAAGAAAAGCAAATGAATTACAAAGTGGAACAGGAGTAAATACGAAGAGGAGTAGAAGACGAAGAGAGAGGGATTAAAAAAAGACAGATGCATAAAAGGAGGTAATGACAGGAGGGGCAAAGCAAGGCAGCTTTACTGTAGTGGAAATGACAATAAGAAGCAGGGATAGACCAGTGTAAAACCAAATTAGAGCTTATCACTTTTGAAACATGTTTTTTGTCTATTACACTTGCAGTAGTTCAAGTGTAATTATTCTAATTTCTTTATTTTTCTCAGTTGCTCTTTTGTGACAGCCATTAATAAGTATTTTGAAGTTGACAGTTGATGGGAACCGCTATTTGTACTACAGCAATTTGAGTTTGCTTATCTTGAGGCAATATGTTGTAATATAATCCTTAAGTATTGCAACACATTCTCAGCCAATTCTAAAATATTGGAATTCAAAAAAGTCATTTTTAATTGAACTGAATATTTTCGTAATTTTCTTTTTTTGTATCTCCATTCCTTTGATGCAGGAATCTTTTTTGCAGTTTTTATTTTATTTTAAAGAATCATTAAAGTGGAAAAAAAAGGGCTTAAATATTTGAAAGATTTGTAAGATTTAGAATTTATGTCCACATTTAAAATTTTAAACTGAACCATGTTTCACTGACTCTTAACTTCCCTTTAGTTTAATGTCCTTGAACTGGTAATACCAATAGAAATGTGTTTGTTTTTCAAACTTTTGGCCAATCTGGGATTCCTAAGGAATTTCCAATAGATATTCAACACATGTAGATAATAATGGATCCTGAGCCCCCGACAGCTGCTCTCAGTTTCTCCTCCTCCTCCTCCTCCTCCTCTTGTTCCGTACTGTCATTCGTCATTAGCATCTATCAGGACGTTGTTTCCACATGGTGAAACATCTGTTTGGGAGCTGTGTTCTTACCCAGTGGATGGACATGTTGAGGGGAAACAGGTCGCGATCCACAGTGTATAGTGTAATGTCATTTTGCATTAAATGCATTTTTGCACTTATGACTTAGACCAATGTTTCCACGGCACATATATATGATCAGGAAAAAACCCCAGGGCACATCACCAAACAAAAATCTCATGTAATGAAATTTAATTTAATATTCTAGTTTAAATTTACTAAAAATCTACTCCTGTTTAGTCGAAGACAGCGCTCATGTAGTGGCAGGAATTGAAGAAAGACACTCACAGAGATCTACTTCAACAGTTCCGATTATGTTTTTCTTAGTTTTAAAAACCATCTGCTGCCACCTAGTGGAAGAGGATTTATTGCTCTGTCTGTCACACATTGATGAACGAATACAAATTATTTGCCATAAATAAATCAAAGTTTTGGGACCAATTAAGTGACGTTGGATAATTTTCCGCGGCACACCTAATGACCTCACACTGGTGTGTCACGGCACATTTACATCCACATGCATGCCGAATGTCAGTGTTTGTGAGCTATGCTATGCAGTCATTGAGGTTTTTCTGGTCTTCTGAAGTGCAACAAACGGCCCCTTTTCCTGTTTCTCTCTAGATTGTTGTTGATGTAATTGCCCCACAGCTGTTTTACTTTTAGTGTGTAAGTGGACTTGAGAAGGGAATAATGTTGTGCAGGTCTGGTAGATACGCTGCATTAAAGGTAACTGGGTTGAAACTGTCTCCTAGCAATGAAAGTTGTTCAGTTGAGTTCAAGACTATACAAGTAGTTCCTTAAAAAAAAAAAAAAGTTTAAATTTTTCCTCAAATATCATGTGTGATTATGGATATGTCTCTTTGGTAATTAGTGTCGACTTAGTGTCACTCACTGTAATGAGGCATTAGTGTTATTATTTGTGTGTGGGTGAGCATCAGTGCATTCATAATAACGTGAAGCTCAACCTGGTTTTTCAAAATTGTTTTCATTCTCAATGGCTGTTGGTTTGATTTATGTCTTTTTGTTTTCACAGATGGGGAAAATCTTATCACTTATTGTGATAATTAAAAATCAACAGCCATTGTAATGAATCAGTGAGGAAAAAAAAATTACACATGACATTTTTATAACATACTATCAAAGAGAGCATCTTTAATGTGTGCGTGTTTAATGGAAACAAGTGTGTGTGTTCCTGTGATCAAACTCATTAACAAAATAAACGAAATAAAAACAGCAGCTGTTGTTTAATGTCAGAATGTTTCCTGAACCGAGAGTCGACTGCAGAAAAGACCAGCTCTGCCTCGTCATTGTTCTTTTCAGTCTAAGTCTGTGTCTGTGTCTGTGTCTGACAGATGGTGATGGCGACCAAGACCATCTTCTCCCCGTGTGTCTGGATGATGCCTGTCACCGCAGTGCCATCTACTTGGCCAAGTCTGGCTCACAAGATGTAAGTGATGAACACACATTTTAATTTGTAATCACTTCGCTCTTTGTTTTTTTTCCCTTCTGTGACTTTTTTAATGTATGTATGTATGTATGTATATATATATATATATATACACATATATGTATATATATATATATACACATATATGTGTGTGTGTATATATATTTATATTTATATGTGTATGTATATATATGTATGTATGTATATGTGTGTATATGTATATATTTATGTATGTATCTATATATAGGTATATATGTGTATATATATATATATATTTATGTCCGTATATATATATTTATTTTTATATATATGTATAAATATATAATTATATATATGTTAATTTGTAGATTTTTAAAGTCTTACAATAATTGGTTTGCTTTTCAAACATTTACTGTATAAGTGGAGCTTTAGAAGTATGTCATCCAGATTTTTTTTTTTTTTTTTTTTTTTTAGCATAAAACTGCTGCATAGCATATGGTGCAGATTCGCGGTTAGTGCTGAACTGCATATGGGAAAGTGCATTAAAGAGAGAGCCTTTTGATGTCTGTAATCAATTATGTGTCAGGCAGGGCGGATGAAATGAAGAAAAAAATAGCAGTAATTAGTCGTCATATAATTTGTACCTAATGCACAATGTAAACAGTGACTAAGTCACAAGGACATTGAACCATGCCGTGGTAAAACCCAAGGTTACGGCCTTACCGTGAACATCATTCAGACATGATATACAGATGTAGACGTCTGCTAACTGTATTTACTATGGCTGTCAAAATTAACTTTCAGTGTTCATTTATAATTATAATTAATGTGAAATTAATTGGATTAAAACTTCAATTTAATCTCACTGTAGCCTTTCTTCAGTAATACCACTCTCCATCCACTTGTCACTGCTCTTATACGCAGTCAATAAACATGTTGTCATTTGCACACATTGCAGGAAACACTGTTCAATTCACCCAAGCCTGTTGAGCTTAACATTCATAATTATTTGTGATTAATCCTTAGTGATTATTCTGATTAAAATGTAATTTTAAATTCTGGCAGCCCTGGTATTGACTATATACCTCCTAGTATTTTTTAATATATATATATATTTTTTTTTTAAAACCATTTTGATTTTAAGCTGTCACAGGTGCGCCCTACTCCCCATGGCCCGTTAGTGGCTCCTCTGCCCTGTCTGACTTCTGCAACCTAGATAATTTCTCTGGGCTTTAGGCTTTTAAATGTCTAGAATAAGCTTCTGGTTCTCTATATTTTCTTAGAGTACTTGAAATAGAAATGAGAAATGAGAGATGTGGTCATATTTACTCTAGCCTCTTACTTCTGCATAAGACATAAGACTTACATTTGACCAAGTTGATAAACACCTTTTTTTTTTCTGGGCCACTTCTCTCTCCTACATGTCTTGTCATCATCTCTGCTCTTAGAAACGCCACTTTAACGCTGTGATTCCACAGCCTCTGTTTTGTTGTACAATGGCTTTCTATTTTAGGAAGGCATTAAACATGTGGCTCACTGTGGGGAGACTTTGACTTAGAACGACTGAGGGGCTGATCCTGACTTTGTTGTTGTGCAGAATCACACACACACACACACACGCTCAATTCCGTTCCTGCACGGTGCCAACAGATGAATTTGTGCAGAATTGCAGACATGTTGACTCGGGATTTGTGTTCCAGGACTACCTCCTACACACGGTGCCATCTTGTGTGTAACTTTTTCACTTTTATCCTGTTTCTTGGCAGGTTAACCTACTTCCTGTGTTCTTCGTCTTCCTGTAGCTACCAGCAGAAATCCATCTCTGTGTTCTCTCAGTCTAAAATAGAATTATTAGAGGCTTATCTGCATGTTCGCTCCCCCACACGTGTGCTCTCCAACGACACACACACAATGGAAAAGCGCAAGCATGTATTCTCCCCACGGACATATCGCCTTTTGTTTCCCAGTCAACAACAAAAAAAAAATGATTGAAAGGAGAGTTTTTGAAAGGGAATGTAGATGAAGCAAATGGGAGAGGAAGTGGAGGGAGGAGGACACACAGGCGCTGAAGGATGAAGGTAACACATGTCGTTTCATGTTCTGCTCTGTGTTTGAGCGACAGTCAGTGCTGTCAAAAATGGGACAGGTGGAGAGGGAGAGGCAGGCAGAGCCAGGAGGAATCAGAACTTACTGTAAGCCTCTGTGATTTGTGGAATAATGGAATCGCTCTGAGATCACACTCACTCTCTTAGTGAACAGAAACCACCGCACATACACTACAGTTTGGATCCTCATCTCCAGTAGCTCACAGATATGTCAGATTTTACCTCTGCTGTGCCCAGTTGCAATTGTCACATTTATGCTTTTTCTAACACCCTGCACGTTAGGGGCCGTGTGTTTCTTCGTAACAGAGGATCTTCTGTGATGTTAATGGAGTGGTTCATTGGCAGATGTCTTCTCTGGGTTGAGGAAGAAGAAAAAAGGGGAATTTAAAGAAAATATCACTTGATTTAGAAAAACAGAGTTTTTGAGAAGCTATTGTTAACTGTCTTCATGGTCACGAGAGTTGTTGATCTTCCTGACTTCTTGTTGACGTAGGAACCAAAGACAGGTTTGATCAGAAAGATAAGAAAAGATAAGATATTAAGACAAACAATACTCTATTGCTGTTCCACTGCCTCCAGTGAACTTGTTCTACTATTCAAATGTTGAAAAAAAAAGACGTCCACGGTTCATTTCTTGGTTTTTGCTGACACACTTATTCCTTATTTTTTGTTGAAACTAGTAAACATTTCCTTGTGAAAATGGTCTTGTTTTCCTTCAACAACATAAAAACATACAAGTCGGTGAAGAAATGTTGGGTAAGCTGTGGTTACCTGTTTTTAGCTTCTATGCTAATGTCTCCAAATGCGGCGCAGCAGTCTGTGTCATGAGTGTGAGGAGCCTGGAGGCTGACTGTTTGTAGCATGGATGGCTCAGTGTAGGAACCTTGGTGCGTTTGTCTGAACACCTTACCAACCAGTCATTTATTGACCAATGGATAAAATCGGAACACTCTATTAAAGTTTGTGTCCTCCTCGTTGTATTTTCTTAGGAGAAGACAATCAAATGGGAGGAAGACCCAGAAAAGAGGAGTAGAAAATATATAAGTTTACAAACAAAAGTATAGGGATGCCCTCAGGCTGTGAAAGAAATACAGTACCTGCTGAGCTGAAACTGGAAGGTGTCTGTATTGTAGTTCATCTTCAAACAGCAATTCATTTTACAGTCTTAGCCACTCTTCACACTCCCACCTCTGCTGCCGCTTCAGGGCCTTTAGTTCATCATGACATGGAGGAAACGGCAGGAAGCTACCAGCAGCATTGCACCCAGGAACTTTTTTACTTTGTTACTTACAAGTAATAACAATCTACCATTTAATGAGAAATTATTGATATTTTCCATGTACAAATATTTAATCTGCTTCATTTCATCTTGATGTTCATTTTTAAATCATAAGGTTTATGAAAAAAAAATCATGCAGCAGTATTATCTAATAGTACTTTATATTATATTTTAAGATTACTTTTCCTATTCAAACTAATGTCTGCATATTAGATTATTATTAAACTTTTCCTATTCAAAATAATGTCTGCATATTAGATTATTATTAATAATATTTATTTATTTAATATGTTTTTGTGACCAAAGTGGTCTGAGAGGTGCAAAAAAACAAAACACTAATGAATTAGCTTTCAATTTGGTGCCATCATTTCTGCCAATGTTGATTATATTGTGCAGTAGGTGTGAAAACAAAAGCAAATAAATGATGCATAAAGTACTGTCCTTGTAATCACTGCAGGGCCTCATACAACATGGTGAAAAAGCAACAACTTCGTATTTATTTTTTGCTTCACTTAAAAAAATGTGTCGAGGAAGACTTTAAAATGCTGACTGAATTATTTATATGCAGAGGAAAATAGTGATTTTTAAAATACACTATTTGGTGTATTACTTTGTCTTTGGATACATTTGTTAATACCAACATGCAACAATGAGACCAGGCCAGCTGCCTACAGTTCCTGCCTGGACACAGCCAATACCAGGCAGACACCGGTCAGTGGTCAGTGGTCAGTGGTCTGAGAGGTGACACTGACAGCAGGAGGAGGCCGCTCTCTCTCCTGCCCAGGTGACGGAAAGACATATGGTCTCGCTCCATCTCTGGCTCCTGATTCTGAGTACCTTCATTTAAAAAGACAAGCTGTGGGAGCTGACGCCAAAAAAATATAGATTCTCTTTTTATTTAATATGGATAAAAACTGAACTTAATGCAGCTGTGACAGAAACAAAAATGATTTTTAATCGCCTGTCATGCAACAGCATGTGGCAACACTTAATTAACTGATTTTGATGTTAGATTTTTGTGACATGCTGTATAATATAATAGGAATATACAAATATACTGTACATATAGAGTGAGGAAACAGAGGAAAATATGCCAACGTCCCACATGAAACCTTCTGAATTCAAGCTTTAATATTTACATTAAAATAGATCTTAAAGCAATCAATGCATTTAACTAATACTTATTATGAATCCTCTACAAATGTCCAAACAACTTTCTGAAGCACGTTCCTTTCCTGGCTTAACCTTTTCTTTCCCTTGAATCCTGTCATTTTTTAATCCTGGTAACTCTGAATAAAAATCACACACATTCTTTATCTCCACCTGCAGCTTAGCCTTCTGTCTGTTGGACTGTGCACAAAAAAAGTTTCCTTTCAATCCTGCTGCAGTCCCTGTACCAGACAGACAACATTAACCCTAATTTTTTCATCCTTTCTACCACGTCTGCACCCTGGTCCGTAGCTCTTGTCTGCACTATTGTCTGGAATGGTTATTCTACCTCCCCCACGATTGTACTGTTCCCTTTATTTCCTCCAAAACATCCACCTATCCAAATTCTCATTTTCCCTGGTCTCCAGCCTGCTGTAAGGCCATTCCAGTTCTATTGTTTAGAGGACAATTTACCTTGTCCATTCACTTGACGAGATACCAAACACTTGTTGGTTAAATGCTCCTTATTGCACACAACAGCTTGTCACTTCTCATCCCTAAACTCTCTGCAATAGTCTGCAAATATTCAGTCATCCTGTGCTTCCTAATGCACTTTCCTCTGGCCTCATATAGCAACGTTCCTTTTTTTTTTTCTTTGCTTTCATGGTTACATTGTCTAAATTGCCTTTTTTTCTGTTCTCTCTTCTTTACGCTGGTAGCTCTCTACTCCAAATGTATAACTTATGAGTGTGATAGACGTTACTCCTAAATCACTGTCACAACTTGTGAGTAAATAAATAATTTTAGCCTTGATTTATCTGTCGCCTTGTATTATGGCAGAAAAGAACTAATTTGCTGCTTCTGCTCTCGCTGCTCTCTCCGCCCACTCATCATTTAAAGCCCATGCTGTCTTTAAGTGCCAGTTCTAATGTGAAAAGCATTATCGTCAGTATATCAGTGGGATCATAAAAGCCATCGCCTTATTACATGCTTGGCTCTTTTTCCTCTATTTTATTGCCATAGACAGCCTTGTTGTCTGTTGATGCTACAGCACCTCCTCATTTCACATTGTCGCCGGCACCACATCCCACCTCCACCTCAGGCTGCCCTCTTATTAATTTCTTGGCCTAATGAAGCGAAAGCCTTTTCCAGCAAGTTGAATCGATGGGAGTCTCTCAGCATGCTGTAGCTTTTTTTTTTTTTTTTTTCTTAATACTTAAGTCGTCACTGAAGCCAGGACATTGACTTTTCTGTTGGGAATCGTATTTTGTTTTTATGAATATCAGACCTACATGGATGGTTGTTAGTCTGTGTGACAGTAAACAGCAGCTTTTCTGGCTCTGGATTAGGGAAAAACTAGGGCTGCAAAATGAGTTTATTAAGTGTGAAATTACAGATTTTAACACTACACAGAATGTCAGGCGCTGTATATCCAATAATCCCACCATTTATTCACGGGAAGAGTTTTTGTTTCACAAAAAGCACCTTGAGCTCAAACGACCTTCATAATGAAGAGGCGTGTGTGGGGGCTTCAGCGTGAGTTTGGGGGAGGGTCAGCAAATATGTCTAATTTAAGCAAATCATTCAAGATGCACATTAATCCAAGGTTGCTTAAATACAACGAAATATTCATTATATTGTAAGTGTTAACATTTTAAAATCATCTAAAGAAGTGTTTCTTTAATATATAAAAGTTCCACTCACTGTAACTTTCTGTAAACACTATTATCTTTTCTAAGAAAACATATTATTTTTATTCTCTTAATAAAAATCGCTTCATTAGAAAAAGAACTGTTCAGCTGAGGCGACGTCTCTTTTACGTTCCGCTTTTGTTCTTCCTGTATGTTAACACAGTATGAGTATGAATGATCATTCACTTGCTCGCCAGGATAGATGATTTATCAATTAAAGTAAGACAACCCTAATGATGGATCACTCAAATTTGAGCCTTAATCTTCTTTTTTCCTCTTTCATTTACCATCTGTCGTATTTACATATGTGCATACATTTGCATCCCCAACATATTATTCCTCTGTCTGTCTTTTATATAATTGTTACAGCTGCTGTTGGGATTATCGGTTTGTTTCCATATGATTTCTGTGTATCAACAGAGCAGCTGTATAAGAAACACTGACCACCCAGAAATCGAACCACATTTTCACCACATAATTCCATTATTAGGACAAACTGTTTGAATAACTGGTGAAATTTGCTGCATGTTGTTATTGAGTTTAATTATATCATATAATCCAAACCTTCCTTTTAAGCAAAATACAACTGTACTTTTGCAAAAGACAATATTAACACATTGAATGAGGTCGGCAATGATTTTAATTATTAAAATGTTGATGGCATAATGTAATAATGGTTCACAAAAACTCAATGATAGAGGCCGCGTAGGTTTATGTACTTGTTTACATATTAATCCACTTTTGATGTTCGGTTCTTACATTAAATTGTTACTTAAAAACAAAAGCTACAGTAAATATCTCCACTGGGTTGAATGCTGTGGGACAGGCTTCAGGTTTGTGAGTCTTCACTCTGTCACATTAGGCGACAGGTTGTTGCAGTTTTTCTTTTTTCCAGCCTCGTTGTCTTCTCACTGTAATCAGCATAAAAAAAAAAGGCAGCAGACAGAACATTGACTGCCCCGGGGTAAACATCAGTACAGTCGCTCTGCTGATAAGGCTGTTTCCTGTCTTGTAGGAAAAACATCTCAACAAAAGACACAGTTTATAGACAATTCATTTATAAATTCACCTGCGCTTGAATAAAAGAGCAGAAATAAACAAAGAAGGTCAGGGTCAGGTTTCAAAACCTGCGGCAACCAGGAAGTGCAACTTTTGCTTTACATATTGACAATGCAGTTCATCTCAACATGTAAACTGAGTTGACCGTTGAAGTATGACATTGCGCTGATGCTAATGTAGAATTCACATTCTCACATACCCAGAATATGTGTGGCAAATATGGACAAATCATACTCTCTTAAAAATGTCCCAACGAACCAACCGTCGTGTCGAACCAAAATATGGCTCCTATTATTTCCTGGTTTAAATGATGTTGTGGTGAAACAGTGAGTGGTGTGTGGATTTAAAAATGATTT